AGGAGGAGATTGCCCCTCCTTCTCCAGCAGAGCATCTGGTGGATTTGAACTGCGTACTTCTGGGATTGCAGTGCAGCTTCTTGTCCCTAGGCCACCAGAGCTCCTAAATATGTAAATAAACATTATAGTCTTAACAAGCCTTCTAACAACATTCACTAATTTATATTTAATAAATATGCCAAGCAGATTTTTTTAATGTTAAACATAACTAATGTGTTGAGATTTTATTTTTTTTTAACATTTGCTGCCATATCTTTATTTTTATTCTTTTTTTTTCTTGTTATGTACCCTTGAGTCAGATCCGACTGGCACAGGAGGACACTGCCCCTCCTTCTCCAGTGGAGCATCTGGTAGACTGGAACCTCTGGGATTGCAGCACAGCTTCTTGCCACTAGACCACCAGAGCTCCTGAGATTTTATTCTTTTTGTTTGTTTGTTTTTATAGATTTTATAGATTTATTTTATTCTTAAGGAGGCATTTTAGCTTTTTAAAAAAATTGTAAGATAATTTAATATTGCATCTTTAGCTTCATGCTACACCTGTAACCATCGAAAGTAGCTCTTTTTATTCCTCCCAAGAATTAGAATGCATTACTTAATTTTTTTTGTACATTTTATTAAATTTTGTTAACTTGTAACTAATAAAAGTAAATTTTACCTCATATAAATTACTAGCTTCTTAGTAAAAATAGATTTTTTTGTTTTTTAAAAATGTTAATGAAAGTTTATACTTTGGATTTCCATTCATTCATTGTTGCACATTTTCCTCCCTACCCACCCCTCCCCCCAGTTGATTTTTCTCTTTGAAAAGTAAAAAAAAATACCAAAACACTTTCATTATTATACAACCCCCACACCCCCTGTTCACTCCCCCATGCAGCTCTCATTCTGGACTCTTGTCATGAAAATAATACCTGATCATATATTCCTTCAAGCACTTCTCACCCTCGTCTGTTTCAATGCAGCATACATTATTTATTCCCCTTTTTAAAAAATAGATTGTTTTTAAGCCAGCAGCTTACTAAAATGTGTCACACTCCAATTTGATTGCATTAGCAAGACTCTTGAAAAATTCATGATGTCAAAGTTATGTAAAACTTGTTTATAATCAAAACGTCTTAGTCTCCTGCTTCCAAAAGCTTTCAATGTTCTTGGCCCCTCTTCTAAGACTCTGTAATCATAATTTTATTTCTGTGTAACGTTTTCTGTGAAGGCCGAATATGGTGATCCATGTATGTGATGAAGCTAAGAACTTGAAAGAAGATTTTATTTGCCCCCGCGACCTCTTGGTGTCAGAAATGAAGTATTTTGCTGAATATTTGTCCATGGATGCCCAGCGCTGGGAAGAGGTGGACATTTCCGTTCACTGTGACGTTCACATCTTCAACTGGCTGATTAGATATGTTAAAAGGAACACCGAGGAGAATAAAGATTGTGAGATGCCCACTTTAGGTAAAAAAGATGATTTCTTACTTGTTTTGTGGGAAAATTGTCCCTTGGTTACTCCTTCAAGTGGGAATTAAAATGTGGAAAGTCATGGTCTTTTTAGGAAACTAATGACCTTGTTCTTTTTCAGTAAATTGATTGCAGGTGGCTGGCTCTCAATGTGATACACATGGGCTCCTCAGATCCAGGACGCCTTTTCAGAGTCCACAAGGTCAAAATAGCCTCATTGTTCTCGTGGAAATAATTTTTAAAATGCTAAAACTAATAGCCTTGAGTCAGAACTGAATCATAGCTGACCCTCAGAGGCATTTTGAAGCTGTGAATCGCACAGGAAAAGATGGCATGTCTTTCTCTCATGGAGCTGCTGGTGGATTTGAACCCCCAGAGAAGTACCCTTTTATGCATTTCCCTACTCCCAGACCACCAGAGCTGTGTAGTGTCGTCGTTGTGTTCCACTGAGTCGGAAGTGACTCATAACTGACCCTCCAGCGGGTTAAGGTGCACCTGATACAGGCCGTGGTCTTTGCAGTCACTTGTTATGCATCAGAGAGTTGGACAATGACTAGGGAAGATAGAAGGAGAATTGATGCCTTTGA